ATCTTCGGCTTGCAATCTAATTAAAGAAATGTTAGCCTTTGAATTGTGTTCGTTTTATCTACATACAGTTGCATAAAATAGTAGTGAGAACAAAGGGGGAAAGTATCTGGAAGGATATTGTCATGGGATAATTAAAACAAAACAAAACCCTTCTAACTCTGTACTTATATAACTGAAATGTCCATGAATAAGGTTATGGGTGTGAGTAACTGAGTCAAGGAATTCTGTTGTACATCATCCACTGTATTAGCAATTCATCCTGAAGATGAATAGTCTGGTTAGTCTAGTGAAAAGAAGGACTGGGGTGATATAATAGCAATGTTCCAATATTTGAGGGGTTGTCATAAAGAAGAGGGGTTCAACCTATTCTCCAAAGCGCTTGAAGGCAGGACAAGAAGCAATGAATGGAAATTAACCAAGGAGAGAAGCAACCTAGAACTAAGGAAAAATTTCCTGACAGAACAGTTAACCAGTGGAACAAATTGCCTTCAGAAGTTGTGGGTGCTCCAACACTGGAAGTTTTTAAGAAGAGATTGGACAGCCACTTGTCTGAAATGATCTAGGGCCTCCTGTTTGAGCAGGGGGTTGGGCTAGATGATCTCCAAGGTCCCTTCCAACTCTGTTATTCTATTACACCTGAAACCCAGTATATAATTCACTCCACTTTGTCTTTTTCATCTGGTGATTCTTCACGGCAATGAGTTTGCAGAAACTACTTCATCCTCCCCCAGCCCTTTCTCCTCCTCCTCAAATCAGCCAATTGCTCAGTTTTGAATCCACCAACAAATCTACACTGCTGTTGTTGACTTTAGTCTTATTTCTGAGAGCTCCATGAAATCAACAAGTGTACCTTCTCTCTCCTGTTACACATCAAAAGTAAAACACAAAAAGGCCTCTTTTAGGTTGTTCTATTAATTTACATGATTATGTGCTGGTGAAAGGGAGCTTTAGGTCAAATGGGCTTCCATTTGTGAACCATGAGGAGAAAAAAATGAGTGCACAGGTTGACGAGGAAATTGGATTTGCGTTGGTTATTATAGCCATATAAGTACTAGGCCTTTGCTTTGCAGTAAAAGCAGAAAAGAAATCACTACATGAACCAGTTTGATTTAATGATTAAGCTGCAGGTCTAGAAACCAGGCGACTATGAGTTCTAGTCCCAACTTAGACATGAAAGGAGGCTGGGTGGTTTTGAGCTAGTCTTCTTTTTTCTTTCTCAGCCCAACCACCTCACAAGGTTGTTGTTGTGGGGTAAATGGAAGGAATATTAGGTAAGTTTGTTATCTTGAGTTAATAATAAAGGTGGGATAAAAAAATATAAAATCTAATGATGGACTAAATCTTAAACTCAGATAGTAGATGGTTGGAATATGGCTGTTTTTGTGTTATACTTTGTAACTGATTTAAAAATTGTAAACTGCCTAGAGCAGGGGTCAGCAACTTGCTGCTCTGGAACCGCATGTGGCTCTTTCACCCCTCTGCTGCAGCTCCCTGTCACTCAAAATATGTGCCACAGCCGCCAATGTGCAACACCTGCCGGCACGTGATATATTGAGCTTTTCAACTCCCGGTAGACCAACCATGTATAAATCCAAGAAAAGAAAAGTTTCAGAAGAAAACAGAACATTTAATTCAACTACATATGCTAGTTTTGTGGCTGTTCAAGAAATAATCAGGCACAGGAATGGTTTTGTGGCTCCCAGTGTTTTCTTTTCTGTGGGAAACTGGTCCAAATGGCTCTTTGAGTGCTTAAGGTTGCAGACCCCTGGCCTAGAGTGTATCTGGGTATCAGGTGGCATTATTATAATTATATTATTATAATAGGAGCCTGGGTGCTGCAGTGGTTAGAATGCAGTATTGCAAGCTAACTCTGCCCACAAACAGGAGTTCATTCCTGACCGGCTCAAGGTTGACTCAGACTTCCATCTTTCCAAGGTCGTTAAAATTAGGACCCAGATTGTTGGGGGCAATAGGCTGACTCTGTAAACCACTTAGAGAGGGCTGTAAAGCATTATGAAGTGGTATATAAGCCTAAATGCTATTATTTGGTGATTAATTTTCAAGATAAACTAGAATGACTTCAAATAAATCAGTAACTTTTGGAGGGCAAGAGAAATTATAAGAGCACATTATGAGCATTATCACAAAATAGTTATTGGGGTAATGGGAAATTTGGTTTTCCAATTCACAAAATTATGGAAGTGATCAATCACAAGACAAAATAGTAAACCAGCAATACTAAAGGAAAAATAACTTGGCAAAAAAGCTAAATCAATTTACCAAGAAAAGCCGAGGCCTTAATTGCAGAATTCAGATCCCCTCTTTCTAAATAGAATTTTCTGCTCCAATATTCACGTTTCAAAAGACAATTTGATGAGGTCCAGAAACCATCAACATCACATGACTCTCATGCATAGCACACACAACACACACACACACACACACACACACACCCATTTCAAAGAAGTGACATTAGGAAAACATTCACAGGAGCAAAATACTGACCTATTGCCCAATCTGTACTTCACAGGCAAATACTGTATATGCAAAAAATAAATAGGCATGCAAAACTAGGCAAATAAGTCAGCTAATGTCCACACTTGCTTACATGATACAAACAAAAAACACCAAAGCTGGCAAGCACATAAATTGAGTAGGCATGAAATGAAATGGTCTCTTCTCTCTTCATTTGGTCCACCAGTATCCTACAAGTGCCTTTGGAAGGCTTTCACATTCCAGCTTGTCTTTTTACTGCTTTATTTTATTTTTTCCTGGAGCCATGTTAGAACAAAGCACATGTATATATACTGGTATTCTGCTTCTCCGTCTCTCCCACTTGGTTTTTCCTGCCAGCAGAAGCTCTTTTCAGAGGGTATTTAAGTGAGATGTCCAAATTGGGACTTTTGGCTTGTTACTAAAGCAGTTTGGAAGCCATCCCCTCCCGCTTAGCCCTTATTCCTGGTCTCCGGTCAGGACAGAAAGTTGACACTGTGACCACTTGCTGCTAGAACACTCCTGCCCTCCCCGGTCCGTTTCATAGCAGGCCAAATGCTTTGCATAGAGAAGACCTCGCTCCCTTTCTGGTGTCTCCAGATAGGACTGAAAAAATGTCTGTCTGAAAGTTTGAAGAGCTGCTGCCAGAAGATCAGATTGCTTCAAGAGGCATGAAATTTATGTCCCCGCAAATTCTTTCAGCCTATCATGCATTTGTTTTGTTTTTTATTGGAAAACCGCTTGCTAATTCTCCCTGGCCCCTAATTCACTGTTCCTAGCTATGGTTAATTACCGGTAAGTCCATTTTAGAAATGTGCCGTTGTCATCGCAGCTTTTGGGGGAAAGCCCCAAAGTTCAAACGCTGCTGGGATGCCACCTTTGCTCAGCAGGACCAACCAGTAGAAAACCTTTAATGTGTCTCTTGGTGTATTTGTTAATAGTTTCTAAGATGAGCCCTGCCCTCCATAGCGCATACCAGGAAGAATGTATGCAATACCAAGCAAGCGTCCATAAGCACCCACTTGCAGAAGAAATATGTGTGTCAAGGCAAGAAAGTTGGAGGGAGGATAAAAATGTAGTTGTTGCTCCTTTGTGAAGGGAAGGAAGGAACATTCTTTTTCACTCTTAGAATATTATCGTTACTTTTGTCAACTTTGTTGAATAAGCTTATAAACATTTTTTCCCCTCCCCTCCGGCCCTCATTATTACAGGCTGGCTTGATCCAACAACAAGGCCTATAATCTGATCATGGAGCTCTTTTCAGTGCTAGTTGAACAATTCTGGTCATGAGCAGAACATGCCATTTCATTTATTTATTTCATGTACATTTAGAGGCTGCCCATCTCACTCACAGAGCAACTCTGGGCGGTGCACAATTAAAAACAGAAAAAAACATATCAATACTATATTCCAACAGGAAGCAGTTAAAACAGAAATAGAATATTGCAATTAATGTTAATATTAAAAAAAAACTATATTCCAATAGGCGGCAGTTAAAACAGAAATAGAATATTATACAGGTAGTCCTCGACTTACAACCACAATTGAGCCCAAAATTTATGTTGTTACTGTGAGACATTTGTTAAGTGAATTTTGTTCCATTTTACAACCCGTATTTGCCCCATATTAGACCTTTCATGCCACCATTGTTAAGTGAACCATTGCAGTTGCTAAATTAGTAATCCAGTTGTTAAGTAAATCTGGCTTCTCCATTGACTTTGCTTGTCAGAAGGTCACAAAAAGGGATAATGTGTCCCTGGAACATTGCAATTGTCATAAATATGAACCAGTTGCCAAGCATCTGAATTTTGATCACATGACCCTAGGGATGCTGCAAAGGTTATAAATGTGAAAAAACAGTTATGTTATATTTTTCAGTGCCATTGTAACTTTGAATGCTCTCTGAATGAACTGTTGTAAGTCAAGAACTACCTGTAATTAATATTAAAGCAGCAGAAGGCAGGTTCAAGGCCTTAATCAATCCCAAGTTTGTGTATCTTCTTCAAGCCTCAAGCAAATCTGCAGAGCCCGGTCTTCAGATACTTCCGAAAGACCAGGAGAGTGGAAGCCCACCTCATCTCTGGTCATCAAAGCGCCACCTTTTTTCACAAGGACCTTCTCTCATAAAGGTTTTATCACCTATTTAGGAGTACCACAACACTGGAGATGAACTGCGCTCCATATGGAGTGAGGAGTTTTCTGTCGCTATTATCTTCTCTATCTAATTAGATTACAATTTATAATTTCAGATCAGGTCAGTGGAACAAGGGAGAATTCTGGCACAGTTAGTTACAGGAAAAAATGGCCATAGCTTGCTATGGTAACTTGCCCCAATTCCTTTTCTGTGTCTTTGTTATTTTCTCAAGAGCCCGATGGTGGATATTTAAGTTGATTACCGTTTGAACTGGAGAAATCATAGCTCTTTATTAACAACTCTCATATCCCTGGATGCCATGCGGTTTTCATGCCAGGCAAAACAACAGGAATAGTAACAAATTGCCACTTACCTATGTACAGCATTTGGAAGAGTTCCTACTGTGACAGCTGAGAGAGCAAGTTCAACCTGACAGTTGTCACTTGGAGGATTGGATTCAACTGGTATGGGGTGAGGCAGGAAGAGGCTATCCAAGCTGTGCTGCTTTGGTCTGTCTGCAAAGGCTCTGAGAGTGCAAATATCCAATTCTCTAACACAGGGGTGTCAAACTCGATTTCATTGAGGGCTGCAAACACATCAGGGTTGTGTTTGACCTTGGGGTGTGTGTGACCAGGGTGGGCGTGGCCAGCTCCACATCATTCATTGAGGTTGTTTTCAGCCGCAACGTCCTCCTGCAACCCTGTCAGCGAAAACGGAGCTCCATTTTCACTGGCAGAGGCACCCTGGGCTGGTCCTTTGCTATTTCCAGGGTGGACCTGAAAATCAGATCTAAGCACCCAGCAGGCCGCATTCAGCCCGCAGGCCTTGAGTTTGACACCACTGTTTTAACAGGAGCTCTTCATTGTACTCTATTTGACTTATGGCAAAAAGGATAATTTATAATAAGAAAGGATGTTTTATGTCCTAGCTAGGCTCGGCCTTGATCTGTGGCAGCATTAGCAGAAGTCTTTCTCACAATGAGATGGTACAACCATCTTGTTTTATTGTTTGTATATTTCTTAATTATTAAAACATCAGCTTTCTTTTGTATGTCTGGTGTAGCATCTTTTTCCATATCATTCTTGCAGCCTGTCATTTATAAACCCCTTTCAACCAAACTTGACTTTGTCAGGTGAAACTTGTTCCTCTTCCATAACATCTTTTAGACACAGTCTCTCCATACTATTAGAATTAATTTCTGAATTCATTTTTTAAAAAATATCCTTCAATATATCCAGTGTTAGAATATTTTGCTTAATTCTGCAATGTTAAGTTCATGTGTTCTCCTTTAATTGTAATCTTTACTTCCCTCTAGTGTCCAATTTTTAAAATCTGACTTTTTAAAAATTCAAACAGAAATATTTTTTATAATTAATTTCAAAATCATCTTTCAAATTTATCTGGACTCTTAGTCCATTTGTAACTTTCTAAATCAAAGTTTTAATCTCCCTTTTGTTGTTTATTTAAAATTGTTTTTGAGTTCTATAAAGTTGTACATAAAACTTTCTCTAGCCAAGCATTCAAGGAAATACACCCAGGCTGTCAAACTTGTTGATCCTAAAGTTTCTAATAGCTGAAAAGCAGTTGGCAAGCAATTTCCAAAAGTGAATAGAAAAGGAAGTATGCAAGCTTAGTGTCCTTTCAAAGGTGCTGACTGCAGTTTGAACAAGATGGCTATTCTCTTATCTCCCAAAGTTCTAAACACACCAAAAACAGTTATTTACCTTATAATCTCCTTATGAGGAACAACTGTCCAACATACTTGTGTGCAAACTCAAGTCCTCTCCTTTTTCTAGAGAGATTTCGAAGAACCAGTCTATTCACAAGTTCTTCATTCACCATGGTTGTTGGCTCTGCTTTTCACAGAGATGTCTTCAGTCTGCCATTTTTGGGGTCTCTGTAGGCCATGGAGAACCTATCTTGTGATCTGTCATTGAATGTGGTGAAATGAATATTTAAAGCAAGGTCATCGTACCCTTTCATAAATCAATCATTCATCCAAATAATCTTTTCCAGGCATCATTTTGAGAGAGGAGACATCCACCCTACTCTTCTATTCAGATTTTTGCACATTCAAATATATATATTTTGACCATCACTCTCTGTCTTCTACACATTCCTTTCCCAAAATGACCATCTCTTGATTACCTAGATTCCTAGGCTGAAAGTGTGAAGCTCTTTCTCTCTAAATGGAAAATAGAATACAATATCCTCACTGGGGCAAACATAGATGCATTTTTAAAACCTGGTTCTGTGATTCTGAAAACCTTCTGGCTTATCAGGGACACTTTATGAAAGAGAAATGGTTCAGCATGAAAACACAGCTGCTCTCACCAGTGATATGGCTTACAAATTGATAATCTGGCTGCCCCTTTATGGACTGGCTGAATTTCTGAACACTTTTGGCTACTCCATATCAATTATGCTGTCAAAGAGAGATGTTTCATAAAATGTGGCATTTCTATTTATTACTGTATGCACTTTTCTGATCATAGTTTTAATACATTTTGAGGTGACTTTGTTCTACAACAAATTACCTCAGCATGTAATAGGAATTAACTAACCTTGACAGGGTTTAGAAGCTAAAGATGAATAGCATTTGGAAGGGAAACTGGAAATCCCAGTTCCATAAATCAGACTGAAAAGTACAAATATATTCTGGAAGGCAGGGACAAGCCATTTCTCTTTGACTGAAAACTAGATGGATATTCCATATAAACACAGAGTCAAGTTTTAAGAGTCCTCTCTTTTTTAAATGATGGAAACAGTGCATAGAATATCAATGCTATTTTGAATGCTCATAAAATAGCGTTTAAAAAATCCCTTTGGGTGACTTTAGACTAAATTTTATTCACCAGGACTGAGGAAATTTCAAGTATTCCTACTTACTTTCCATATTATCTTCTGTTTAATTTCTCATGCTTTGTCACTGTGACTGATTCATTCTTTATATACAAGTAGCGAAGATGTTTTTCAGTGGCAAAGTTGAAAGTTTATTCCAAACAGTACTAGCAACAAAACCTCTATTAATAAGTAGATGCAAAATTAAGATGTTTAATATTACCACTGAAAGTACTTGGACTACTCGCACAATGTGAGTTCTTATAAATATTTCAGCATCTAAATGTCATATGGCTTTATTGATCCAATTCCCCAAACATCACCTCACTACTGAAATGTAGCCAAGATAATTAACTAAAGTTTACCTGACACTGATTGAAATGGCTAATTCTGGCTAATTCTGTTAAGCACTGTTAAGTAACACCAGCTGCCTGCAATTACTGCAAGTTCAAATCTCACCAGGCTCAAGGTTGACTCAGCCTTCCATCCTTTCGAGGTAGGTAAAATGAGGACCCAGTTTGTGGGGGCGATAAGCTGACTTTGTATAAAAAAGAACACCGCTTGGGGGGGGGGGGCGAAAGCCCTACTAAGCAGGTATATACAAAAGTATGAAGGCTATTGCTTAACGCATTGTAAGCCGCCCTGAGTCTCCGGAGAAGGGTGGCATATAAATCGAACCAATAAATAAACAAACAAACAAACAAACAAACAAATAAATAAATAAATAAATGAGAGATCCAATCTGTTTGTACCTAAAGAGGGGACCAGAAAGGTTTCAGCTTGAGCTAAAAGATGGCTTTTCAAGCCTTATATAAAATATCCCTCTTATGTTCAATATCCATAAAATAGGAGATATTAATTTTTTTCTTTCTCTTCAAACCAACCAGCAGATAAACACAGATAAGTGTATATCAGTTTACAACATGTGGAATGAGACACAACAGGCTGCACTTAGTGGAAACTATAGCAAAGTATGTTGTTTATTTATTTTTTCAAAAAGGGGTAGCAAAGGAACAGCAGCAGGTGCTAATCCACTACAGCCATGCCAAGATCATGCTACTGGATACTCCGGATCAGATCAGTTCACTAATGGAGCTAAATTTAAAGGCTTGGGAATTAATAAAAAAAACATTTAATTTTCTCGACAATTTAAGGTAAACACAGTATATTAACTGAGGTTTTGAAGAACCAGAATCTAAAAGGTTAAGCAGAGTTGTTCTCAACTCACACAACAACTCAGCCATTCATATAAATCAGGAATGTAAGATCTGAGTAAGCGGGAGAACCAATTCATGGGGATCATATATAAAGGCCAGGTGGTGGATATTTACTGGGAAAAGAGCCAGCAGAGACTAAACTGAAATTGACCATTTCTATCTGGAGCAGTTTTCACTTTCTATTGTCTCCCTGTTATCTACCTATAACTGGTACATTATATAGTTTTGTAAATGTGGTAAGCCAAAATATATTACTTCTCCAATGTACGGTGTCTTCAAAATAGGACATATCTCCAGGAGATGTAATCCAGACATAGCTGATTACTTGAATCACAAGAACCTCTTTTCCAAGGTAGAGAAAATTAGAAAGTATTTGTGATAATCTGTGAAGTACTATACCAGGGGTATCAAACTCACGTCGTCATGGCGGTGTCACATGACGTATCGGGACTTTTTCCCCCTTTGCTAAACGCATGGCCAGCGTGTGACGCATCTGGCACACAGGCTGTAAGTTTGACAGCCCTGTACTATATTAAAATAGTTAGGGTGCTCCTATGAGAGGTCTGCCTTCTCATTATTAGATCTTTATAGTAGCCTGGCTGATTCTTCCTCATCTCCAAAACTTTTCAAATCCACAGAACTGTTCAAGTCTTTTCTAGAGACCATGAAAAATTCAGGAGCTCATTTCTTAGTGCAACACTTCTAATTTAATTGCTCATATATTTCACACAACATAATGAATTGGGATAAGATAGTCTTGTTTTATTGTCCTTCCCACCATTAATTATGTTCCCTGATAGGAATTAAACAAGACATTCAAACAATAGCATTTTAGAATAGCTGTGTTGTATTCCCACTATTTTAGACAAATGCATAAATAAAGGATATCCAATTTTGGCCCAATAAAAACAATGAGAAATGAAAACTTGATATTTTGTGAATTTTTCAGTGAGAAAACCTGGGAAATCCTTTAGAGAAGAAAAACAGTCTTAAACTGGTAATTCAAGGAAATGCTTCTGTAGTTACTTAATTTTTTTCTTGAGCCTTTTTCCAAGTACATTTGCTATGTAATTTTCTTGTTGGACCTGTATTTTGAATTCAGATGCTTGTTTCCTGTGAAACAACAACAATATTACATGACCATTAACAACATAGTAAGAGCCCCTACCACATAATGCTGGTGTCAGATCATGTATCCAGAATGAGTTTGATATGTTGAATAAGTAAAAGAGATAAATGGATGAATGTACCCATACAAAGTCCTTCCCAATATACATGTAGTTGAAAAGATTTATTATCACTCCTACTTCAGACAAAACAACATATGGGTGCTTAGGCAGTAATGGAGCTGGTTTAGTTGTAATAATAATACATTATTGGGAAAGGGAGGTAGGTACAGTAATCCTTCAACTCCTGGGCTTAATCCATTATATTTTCCCTTGCTTTGGTATGA